TATGCCTAATTTGACTTTTTATATAGCCCAAGTCCCGTCTCTGTGTTAAAACGCCGCGAAGTTTAAGTTACTTTACATGTGTTCATTGCGAAATAAAACCTTGTAAATTTAAATTTTTAATTTAAGGTCAAAATCGCGAAAAAATAAGCCCACGGAAATAACCCGCAATAAGGTATTCCAAAATGGAGAGAAAGTATGTGCATTTAGACCAGTTTTTCAATGTTTTATAAGCTTATAAATTCCATGACGAATCAAAATTTAAAAATTATATTTTTGACAAACATGACAACTTCTTTTGCCATTAGACATTCATCTTTACCTTAAAAATATGTAGCTTAGTTTTAAATTACCGTTTTTTCGTTTTGTAAATGAACAAGAATTAATGTTTGCGTTAATATTACGTTAAACCGAACATGTTCAAAAAACAAGACCAAGACACCCGAAAATCAGTCTACACTTAACTGCTCGAGACTATGACCATTAAACCAGAAGAGAAGAAGGGTATACACCGGTTGTCAAGACTTTTTCCATAGCTGAAGACAAGGCAAGTGAACCCCTAATTGTGATAGAACCATATTTATATGTTTAGATGATGTGCTAACGTCAAGTTCAACGAGCAAATTCGTGATATTGTTACTGTTTAATTGGTAATATTCGCGGGGGATTTAACTTCGCTATATTAGCAGTCACCGAAGTCTGCGCGAAATTATATACCAAGCCAAAATTAATACCCTAAATTATATTCTCTGTAGATATATATTTACATCACACCAGAAAAATACTGTTTACCCGTTAATTGCCGAATAATTAAGATAAAACAAAAACTAATATCGCATTTTACTTCATGTTCACACGAAAAAAACAACCACTTATTAAAAATGAATCCCATCGCCCCAAAACAGAAGTACCTTCGAAAGCGCGATATGTTTTTCCTGCCGTGGTGGACAGAAGTTTATCCCCGGGGATGGAAAACAAAGCGTGGCATGGACAGACCTAGATAAACAAAAGGACGCACTCCGGAAGCGGGTAATAAAAAGGACAAGAAAATCAAACA